GCTGGCCGTGGCGCTGCCAGCATCAGCTGGGGTGCAAGCTATCCGCCGACATCCTGGGGCTATTCTTCACATCTGGAGGTGTGTCTTTTAAAAGACAGAGTATCATTTTCTCTCTCTGAATATCAGGACCTCCCAGACACCACGTAAGCACACAGGCTCACCTTCAGTTACACAGACAACTTCTTAAGCTGGAACCTCAGCCTCGCAGCGTGGCCCCACCCAGCATGTGGGGAGCACAACGTGGGAGAGCTGCAGAGAGGAGGAACCGAGAGATGGCTCTCCGCCATCCTGAGTGATTCAGTGACTCTGCGCCCCAGGAGCTGAAGGTCGTGGCACAAGGGCCACTGGTACCGGCAGCCTAGGAGCCCTTCGGCGGGAGGCCTACAGGGCAAGTCTCCGCTATGAATGTGAATTGGAGACGTATTTTTGACAGCGGAGATTGTTTGGAAGGAGATAATTCAAGCACTTATGGATTGGGAGATACTGATGGATAGCTTCACGCTTCTCTGCCGGAGTGTACGTGGGCCACCCGTGAGCCCTCCGGTGTGTGGAGACCCTTCTCGTGTGAAAGGACCACACTTAACAGCTTTCCCCAGGGAATCATCTTTGTTAGTGTTATATGTTGTTACCAGCACATAATGAGCGCATTGATCCTGGGAAGGAACTACATGTACAAGGTTTGAAAATCACTTTATTAGTTTGACAGTTGATTTTTTTTGATTCCTTTTGGGGAAGCAGAAAACAATAATGGAAAAGTGACTGGATTCAGTTTAATTGAAGTGCTTGCTTATTGTGGCATCTTAAGCACATAAAAACAGTCATTTAACCAGAAACTTAAAAAAGTTTTAACATGTAATATAGAGTATTCAACAGTTTCATAAGGGATGTAATATGATTATTTCCTAATACATACGAAAATGTAAGATCCTTCATATCAGTTACTTGAGTTTTTTAGTTTCCTTTTTATCAGTGTATGTTGGTGAACCATTATAATTATATCTATCTTAGAGAATTGGCTTTATATATATGTCACACATCTTATATATCACAGTATATGACATCATCTATCATATCTTAATCATTACTGCTTTCCCCATGTCATAATTTTCTCAGCCATCAGAAAGAATGAAATATAAAGTAATTTAGCGTTCTCTGGGGGATTGATATCTGTGGTGTAATTCTTACGGCCCGTGGAAAGACTAAGAGTTTGCAGGTGGGAGTGGGAATCAGGAATACTCAAGCCGTAGAGATGGAGAAGAATGACCAGCATTTATTATTTTTGTCAAAAGCAGTAAGATGAGTTTTCTTGACCTATGATGGCTTTTAGCACTAATCCCAATGTGCCAGCCTGCACTAGAAATAGGCCAGCTTAGAGCAGAGCAGCCGCCGTATCTGCTCATTGCCCCGAGTTAGAGGGGGAAAGTTCTTGCTGCGGGTGTGCGAGCTTTTCTCTGCTCAGTCCAAGAATCTGTGCTTCTGACTGGATGAGACGCTGTATGTTAGAGAGCATCTCTTCATTCCTACAGCCCGGGCTCGTTTCCTAAGGAGGGATTTCTTCCTAATATGTAACTGTAGTTAAAAGAAATACATTATGGGCCATGAAAGTGAAAGACTTATTTTCATACTTTCTCTCTGTACATGAAAGAATGAAAGAGGAAACAAAGAAAGTTGTTCAGAAAATCAGACTTTCCCTTTCTAAGTAAGTTTGGCAATAATACGGAACAAAATTGGAGCGTCCCAGCCAAGATAAATCTGCGCAGCGCCGCTCTCGGCAGCAGGCAATGCCGCTGTTCCTGCAGGGGGCAGGCACCCCACTAAGAGCCAGGCACCCCGCTAAGAGCCAGGCATGCAGCGGGTTCCTGGGCCCAGACCGTGCACAGCCAGAGGCCGCGCTTCACAGCATGACCACAAACCTTTCTTACTAAAGGCAGTTACATCTTTTGCCAGACAACTGAGCCCCGAGAATCATCTCAGTGGCCCCGAATCCAAGTCTTATTTCAGATGAAAAAGTTATTCTTCCTTCCTCCCCCCTTTCCTTCTTTTCTGTCCTCCTTTCTTTCTTCCCCTCTCCCTTTCTTCTCTCCCCTGCCTCTCTTCTCTTTGGTGGTACTTAGGAGGAAACCCAGAGTTCTCTCACTGAGCTCCATCCTGAATCATTTACTTATTTTTTACTTTGAGACAAGAGTTTGCTTGCTTGCTTGCTTCCTTGCTTCCTTGCTTCCTTGCTTCCTTCCTTCCTTCCTTCCTTCCTTCCTTCCTTCCTTCCTTCCTTTCTTTTGTGGTACCAGGGATTGAACTCAGGACCCTGCGCTTGCCAGGCAAGTGCTTATTCTACTGAGCTATCTCCCCAGCCCTGAGACAAAGTCTTGGTAAGTCACCTCAGCGGGGCTCACACTGCAGGACTCCTGCTGCAGCTTCTCCAAGTTCTGCGATGATGGGTGTGGGTCACCATGCTGCACCAGAATTTCCTAAGAGCATTTTCCTGGAGGTTTGTTTTAAGCTAGACTCTGGGGTTTCAGTTTCATACATAATACTTTAAACTCTATTTGGAACATTTTTTTGTTGAGTAAATGGAGCCTACAAATAGAAGTACATTCTTCCTTGAACAAATAGTATGCTCAGGACAGTGAGTTGCTTCCCGTCGTGTGCAGAGTGCTGTGCGTAGTGCCCTTGGGGCCTGCAGCCCTGTCCCCTGCAGCCCTGTCCCCTGCAAGACTCTGCTCACCACGCCAGGGAGCTCTCACCGCTCACTGGTGGGGGACAGCCTGAAAGTAATGTCACGCAAAGAGGTGGAAAGAAAGGCAGGCTTGCAAACCTTGGGTCTTTCCCCACACTGTATCAAAGATCCAGGTGTTTAATCTATTTAAAGGTTTTAAAACGAAAAAAAAATTAAGAAAGAAGATATAGTCATTCTCTAATATATGAATTGTATTTTTCTTGGTTTTAAACAAGCTTGATGGTACTTAAAACTCTTACTATGGCTAAAGGGGTATTTCATTAAGTTTGGATTGTACAAATAATTGAAAATTAATAAACAAAAAGAAATATAGTACTGCAAATAGCCAAACAAAATACTTTAGCAAATGGAAAATCAAATGAGTTTGACATGCTATGCATTTTAGATGGCATAAGAATTGTCATGAGAGTATGTTAGGAGTAAGTAAAGAGAAGAGATGTTTTTATATGCTTTAACCTGAAAATAGTTGTCTTAACTTTCAATCGTTTTATCTCTGCCTCTATCTTTTGCAAATAAAATCTCATTACCTATTTTATACCTCAGGCTTATTTGAAATTTAGTTTAAGGACAGACATGCGCAGGTCTCTAGCCCGAGACAGTCGCACGAGCTGTCGGAGCCTAAACCTGCATCATTAGCACGTTGAGGGCGGACATTTCTCTCCTCGAGTGCCGTCTGGCTAGTTGTGATGAGGCAAGACAGCAGGTGAAGTGACGTGGAAAGCGACACTCGAGTTGAACTGAAAAAGCATTGAACAAACCGATCTTATGACACGTTCTAGTTGCGAAGCCCCAAGCATAGGAAACTGGCCTCTCATTTAGAGTTCAGTGTTATTTTTACTGACCCACATTTGTTATTCTGAGACAGGTATGGAAACAGTGTTTTTCATCTAATTATTTATTGCTGTGGAGGCCATACTTTAATTGAACTCAGGCCCTTGCGCTTGTCAGGGAAGCGATTATTCCACTGAGCCATCTCCCTGGCCCCAAAGCCATACTTCAGTAAAGAAACTTAAGCCAGAGTGTCCTTGGGGCTTAACATTCCAAACCTCCAATTTTTTTCCTGTTGTGCCAAATTATTGTGATAGATAATGCATATCACACAGCTAGCCAGGAAGGTCTGAGCCTATTGCTGATGGTGAACAGTGTTGCTACCAGAGAAAGTAAAGTATTTCTGGTCACATAGATACTTGCTTAAAGTGGGAAGTCCACGGTACTAGCTTAAATGCTACAAGATAAAGGCAACCAGTGGAAAAGCCTCAAAAAAATAAAATCCTTCTCAGTGGTCTGAATGCAGTGCATAAGGAAGAAGAACACTGTACTAAGATGGGTTTTTGAGAACACAACTCTGATCTCCATAAGCACATATCTGTAAATGTGCTCACTAAGAGAAGACGGCTTCCAGATTAGGTTGTAGAGCAGAACTCAGCTGTGTGGTACAAGCAAAAAACACACTTAAGCCATGTAGCTCTGAAAGGTTGCATTTAAGGAGAAGTGATAAGTATAGATGTATCAGCTAAATGTATTCTTTGGTATCTCATTGTTTTTCTTTTAACACAAATAAACGACCAACGAAGTCTTTTTTTAAATGTATTTAAGACAGGGTCTACAGGGTCTCACTATGTAGATCGGACTCGTAGTGGTCCTCTGTTTTCAGCCTCCCAAGTGCTGGGATTACAGCACGTGCCACCACACCCAGTCTCAATTGCTGTCTCAGTGTGCCCTGGGGGTGGGGCTGGCACAGCATGCCAGGGATCGAATCCCGGCCACTGCACTCTGCCTAAGCAGGCACTTTAGTCTGCTGAGCTATTCGGCCAGCCCCAAGGAAGGTATTTTGTAGTGTGGAAAAATGAGAAAAAACGTAAAAAAATTTTATTGAACTGTAATCAGAACTAAATACGATATATGCATGGGAGCTCTGGAAGGAAATAAGATGGATTAGAGTGAGACTGTGAACTTTTTCTGTATTTTTACTTCAATTAATGTTATTACAGTTAATAAACAATAGGGTAGATTTCTTAAATTGAGCATGTACTATGCATTTAGAAATTTAGGACAACTAGACCAAACTTCCTCAGAGATACCTCATTGTCAAATCAGGTGTTTATTAAAGACTCTGAGACACAGACCCATCTGCTTTCTGCTCTGAGCTGGAAAGTCTCCCGTGTGATGGCCACAGTGAGCCCCAGCAGGAGGCGCTGTGTCTCCCCAGTGCTTCCACTGCCTCTGGCTACCACATCGTTATCACCTCTCTCGGTTTTTACAGCAATATGAGAACTGGAGACCCAACCAGCCAGACAGTTTCTTTTCTGCTGGAGAAGACTGCGTGGTCATCATTTGGCACGAAAACGGCCAGTGGAATGATGTCCCCTGCAACTACCATCTCACCTACACGTGCAAGAAAGGCACAGGTAACTGACCCTCTGCCGCGCACACATATCCCGCCCGTGGTGGCGGGAGGCCAGGCTCCATCCCTCGAGATGCTGTCTCACGTATGCCACTTGCCATTGTTGCTCTGGAATATTCCACCCTTTTGACATAATGAGAAGGTCGTTCTCAATATGACTCACACCTTAGGTTTCAGGTGCTTATGAGAACCATGGGACATTAATGTAAGAAACCTCATTGGTAGTGTCTTTAATACAAACAACTCCTGGCCCATGGATCCATTGATTTCTTTATTATAAGGAGAAGAGTATTGAAAAACACAGCAGTTGTCACTAAGGAAGTCTGATCTCGTTTGGCTGTGCTCAGGTTCGTCAGCAGACGGGACTATGTGGTCCAGAACCACTTCTTCCCTCAGCAGGCTGCTGTCTCTGGTTCCTCACCTCCTCCGCTCTGTCCATCTTGGCTGTGCTGCTTGATCTTTGTAGGCAGCTAAGTTTTTTAATCATAGAAGCTTAGTTTATGTTTTTAAACCATGGATTCTTGTGTCTGGAGTTGAATATCTTTAAGGTATGATAGACACAGTTGTCATGGTAGCTCTATGCTGAGAGTCAAGCATTATACAAAAAAGAGTGGCAAAAGCTGAGTTGTAAACATGTGGCATGTTTGAATTTCTGTGGACTCCCTGAGCAAACAGAAACGCCGTGCACCTGCTTAAGGCCAGGCTTGGTAGTGGTGGCGGATGTCTGCTCCCCAGCTGAGATGAACCCACCTCACGACGGCAGAGGGTGAAGGACAAGCCACTTGAGATGTCTTTAAACATAAAAAAGACAAAACTAAAGATGTGTGCTCTGTGTGTATTTCAAGAAAGATTCATAGAGATATCAATAGTGAATTCTTTTGGAAGAAGGGGAGCACTATGGTGCCCAAAGCCGCTGTCTCAGGTGACACTAGATGAGACTCAGTAGTTTCTGCCGACCTGCTGCTGTCTCGCCCTCCTGCGGCTCTGCACCAGGCAGTCCTGGCCTGTGCTTTACTGCTTATGAGGAACTCCCAAAATAACAGATCAAACATTTGCTACTTTCCATTTGTCACTGTACTGAGAGTATAATAAGCTGTCTGTCACCTTTGCCTCTGTGCTCCTCCAAATGGCTGCGAGAACTGTGCCTTTTCACTTTGTGGCCTAAAATCCTGTATTTCCTGTCTTATTTTCCTCTGCAGTAGGGCTTTTCAGCAGCCTTGCTATTGACATTTTGAACCAGACCACTTCTTTGTTCACTTTTTGGCGGAACTGGGGCTTGAACCCATGACCTTCATGCTGAAGTAAATCTCCAGAGCTTTTTAGTTTTACATTTTAACTTCTTGAATCAAGGTCTCACAAGGTCACTAGGTTGCCTGGGCTGGGCTTGAACTTGGGCTCCTCCTGGCTCTGCCTCCCAGAGTGCTGGCATGATGCGCCCCGCCATGCCTGGATCAGACAGCTCTGTGCTGTACAGCGTGCTGGAGGACCTCCAGCCTCAGCCCCCCTCCTGTGTGCTGAAGGCCAGTAGCAGCATCGCAGCCTCATCCATCCCTGCACACTGTGGCAAAGCCAGCCAGGCGCCCAGGCTCTGCCACTGTCTCCAGTGAGGGAAACTATTCTTGTTTTAGATAGTTTCTCTTTTCTCCAGTGGGGGTCACACAGTTCCTCCAGGTGGGTCTCCTGCCCCAGAGCCAGATGCGGTTCCCAGGAGCAGCTTTGCACTATTCCCGGTGCGGAGTGGGTGTTGGGGAACGCTGCTCTAACCCACCAGGGGAGGAAAACAATTCTTATTTTCTCTCCTCACTGTCAGCTTTTTAAAAAATCTATGTGTAGTAAATAAATGGGAAGACTACATAGTTCATATATTCGTGCATAATTTATTATTTTCTAATCAATGCTCTGGAGAATTTTATAAATGTTCATAGATTTTTTAAAATAAAAGAATCTTTCCTCTTTTCACCACTGTAGACTTCTAAACCTGCAGATGTAATCCTTTTAACTATTAAATACTTACAAAGAATAAAAAATGGAAAAATGTATTTTTCAATTATGCCATATTGCCTACTCTCCCCATACCTTCGAAGTACCTTGTGGGCTTATTTATTTATTGTTGTGGTACTGGGGATTGAACTCAGGACCTTGCACTTGCCAGGCAAGCACTTATTCTACTGAGCTATCTCCCTGGCCTTTCGTGGGCACTTTCTCATACCATTTATTTACTCCACAATTCCCATGAGAGATAATGACCTTATGTCCTGGCTTTCCCCTTTAGTACTAACACATACCCTTGCATCCCCAAGCAGCGAATTGTTTAATTTTGCAAATGTTTGAATCTTACACAGGCGGAAGGACACTCGTGCGCTCCGCCCTGCTGCTCTGTGGGTCCGCGCTGATCCTTGTAGCTGCACGCTGTGTCTTCTTGCTGTGCTTGCTGTACTTCACCGCTTGACTATGCAACATTTTCTTTGCCAGTTCTCCTGGCAGCGGGCGTTTGGTGGTAGACAGTGTTTTTGCGATCACAAACCATGTTGCCCTGAATATCCTCAAGCCTTTTCTGGCTAGATGGTGGTGAGTCTGTAAGCACAGGGGCAGGAGCCAGGCTGCTCAGTCCCGTGGATATAGGCACCATGGAATTTTCTAAAAATGTGCATTACTTTCCAAAACAGTTACACCAGCTGGTACACCCACCAGCTATGTGTTTCTCCACCTTCTCAAATACTGCTATTAGGGGACTTTGACATTTCTGCTAATCTGATGGGTATAAAATGATGTGCCTTGTAATTTAATTTGCATTTCTTGAATTCTTCCTGCATATTTTGTATTATATTTACAGGACACATAAAGATCTTTTGTTTTGGATAGTTTCTCTTTTGATTATTTTTAAAATTTTCTTATATATCATTTACATATTGATTTTAAGAGTTTTAAAAATATAACTACAATTGACAGTTACACCAGTTGCAAATATCTTCTCCCAGTTTGCAGTATGCTTGAGCCTTACCTTGTGTAAGTTTTTGATGAATTGAATTCATTTAAAAAAAATAATGTATTTGGTACAGGGTCTCACTACACAGTTTGGGGCTCATAGTGATCCTCTTGTTTTCAGCCTCTCCAGCACTGGGATTACAGGCATGTGCCACCATGCCCGGTCTCCCTGGTTGGCTCAGTGTGCCTGGGGCATGGCTGGCACAGCATGTGGCACCGGGGATTGAGCCCCAGTCCATGCACTTTCCATGCAGGTGCTTAGTAGGCTGAGCTGTCTGACCGTCTCTTAGAGTTCTTAATTTTATTGAATATGTCTTTATGACTTAGACTTCTGTGTATCTTTAAAAAATCTATAATGCCTAAAGCCATAAAATATCCTATCTTTTCTAAATACTTTATATTTTGCTCTTAAATTTATATGCTTCAGCCAAGTAAAATTGGATTTCTGTGTATTCCTTGCGACACCAAACTGTCCGAGTTCTAATTCTGCTTCCTGCCCGCAGTGCCACGTTGCCCTTGTCAACCCTCAAGCAGGCGCGTGTGCATTGCTTTCTCGCCTGTTTTCCTGTCTTGCTTCTGCCACATTCACTAAATCATTTTAGGGTTTTAGTCTTCATGTATAAAGAATTTTACAAGAAATACAGTTGCTCTCTCACAACGATTAAAAGCAACTCCTCCTTGGTCAGTACAGTGCAGGCTCCCATGGAGCAGATACGAAGGACTGTTTTTAACTACCTTACGTGATTCTGGTCTCATTCTATCTGGTACTACCTAATGTGAGAGGTGATTGAAAGATACGGTGAACGTTTAAATTAAGAATTATCATCCTAAAGAATTTTGGGGCATTAATCTGCCGCCTCCCCCCAGTCATATGCCCCGACCTCATCAGTCTTGCCACTTTCTGGAGCACTTCAGGATGTTCCCTTTCACGACGGGCTTTATGAGCTGTGACCAAAATGATGATGCACATCGCTGCTGGGTGCCGCTCAACAGAAAGGCAGGTGGCTGGAAATATCCCATGCATCCTCCTCCACCTTACTCACCAGATCTGACGTTGTGTGACTCCTCTCTTTCCTAAAGTGAAAATGACCCGAAAAATTCAGTGTTTTGAATCCGTGTGGACTGAGGCAGCCCCAGCAGGGCAATGAAGGACATTCTTGGAAGAGGCCTTCTAGAACTGCTCCTGAGAGTGGCAGGAAGCTCGGGATTCATGTGTCAGGAGCAAGGGGAGGGTGCCGAAGGCCCTCAGTGGCGATGTACTGCTCGCTCCGATAAAAACACTTCTGATCCAAAAGCATACAGTGCTTTTGTTCACGGTCCACAGAAGCTGCTCATAGTGCAATAAAAGCAGAATGCAGTATTTACATTTGGACCAAGCAGAAGAAAATTAGGGGAATTAAATAATTAAGTGAAACCCAAATTTGTCCTCATAAAAGAATATGTTTGTAAACAGCCTCCTGAAATGGAAGGAAATTTAATAATTATAAATGGTTGCTGTTAGGATTTTGACATCTAAACATTTTGCTACCAAGTTTTCTCCTAACTTTTCCCACCAAAGTTTTACATTATTTCACGAGATATTGATATAGCAGGCCATTGGGGTCAGAATATTTTAAGAGTAGAAAATGTCTTCAGGGGGAATTATATTCAAGTGGTTACATTTCCATTGGAAATACATAACAAAATGCAATAATTTTAAATGGTTTTAAAAATATAATTTAAAATAACCACACTAATTTTGAATTACCTATATTATTAATGAATTGAGGCGAATTAATTTTTCAGATCTTTGAATTTCAAAATAGAGGTTTCTTTTATATATACATCCTTTATTATTAATATTGATTGCTAAGTTTGTGGATAATTGGAATTTTTCACTGTAATTTAAAAATGGTAAGGGCTGGAGAGATAGCTCAGCAGCCTAAGCACCTGTTTAGGCAAGCGCAGGGGCCAGGGTTCAATCCCTGGCAACAAATGCCGAGCTTGCCCTGCCCCCAAGCACGCTGAGCCTGTGACCAAGTCTGGGCACGGTGGCGCACGCCTGTAATCCCAGCACTGGGGAGGCTGAATACAGGAGGATCACTAGGAGTTGGAGCTGCCTAGTGAGGCCTGCACCAAACAAAACAAGACAAAACAAAACTAAAAAACTAAAAATGATAGGTAAGCAGGTCAAGCTTATGCTTGCTTACTCTCCTCTCAAGCATTTCAGTTTGCACTGCTTCGGACACTGACGGCCCCAAGGTATAAATATGACCCATTCTCCTCTTCTGTCTCAGGGATAAGATAGAAAGAGCGAGAAGCGCAGTTGCACCTGGCAGTTTTACTCACACTTGAGAACATATGTCCATCTGTCAGAACTCTGGTGTTATGACAGATCTGTCCACTTTTCAGAACTTCTTATAGATTGTAAGTTTTTTTTTTTTTTTTTTAACAGAAGTGATGGGAATAGTTCAGTGTTACAAATCCATTATCCTCCTATGTGAATGTGATGGTGAATAAAATTTGGAGCAGGAAGTTAAGACAAAACAAATAGATCACTGTTGGCCCAGACAGGTGCTTTTTAATTTGGAAAATTTTCAGAAAATTTTCTGCCCTACTAGAAAGTTCTATGACCATGTAGTGCTGTGATTTTTAACAAAATGTAATTTAAGCGGACATAATCTGAGGTTCAAATGAGACCCAGGGTTTCACCGAAGTCTTTCTTGAACTATTTCTTAGATTTGGATGGTGGACTTTTATGATGGTATGTAGGGTTTGGAGAAACGGGACAGACAGAGATAATGACACACAGACAGAGACAGACACAGACAGACAGAACCAGAGAGAATTGGTTGAAATTGTCACGTTATTTGCAAATAACCCACTGTGCTTTCTCTTAGTTGCTTGCGGCCAGCCCCCTGTTGTAGAAAACGCCAAGACCTTTGGAAAGATGAAACCTCGTTACGAAATCAATTCCTTGATCAGATACCACTGCAAAGACGGCTTCATTCAGCGCCACCTTCCAACTATCCGGTGCCTAGGGAATGGAAGATGGGCTGTGCCTAAAATTACCTGCATGAACCGTAAGTGGTCCTTTAGAAGGAATGGACAACCGTGCTATAGCCACTACTAGCCACCTTCATTTTGCGGCTTTGGTGTCGGAGTCGAGGGTAATGGAGCAAGTAATGTTGTTGTGTTTTCTTTCTTTCCTTCCATGTAGCTTCCGCATACCAAAGGACTTATTCTAAGAAATACTTTAAAAATTCTTCATCAGCAAAGGACAATTCAGTAAACACAGCAAAACACGATCATCGCTGGAGCCGGAGGTGGCAGGAGTCCAGGCGTTGATTCCTCAAATGGCAAACATAGGTTTTCATCATTTCAGCCAAAGCCTAACTTCCTGTGCCTTTCCTACCACCTTGAGAAGTGTTATCAGTGGTTTTCAGTTTGGGGACCACCATTTGGTCACTTGGGGTTGCAGTGCTCCCAGAACACTTTAAATGACAGTCTTGGCATCCACAAGGAAAGCAAAGCGACGCAAGAGTGAACAAGGCAGAAGGCGACCGTTTCCAGCCCAGCTCCTCTCCTTGGGGCTCGCTTCGCCTCTGGCGCAGGTTGTATTGCAGCGTCTACCCGCCTACTGTACTATTTAAAAAGCTCCATTTCAGCACCGGTGGCCGTGTAAATAAGATGATTTAATGTTGATTCTACGCCTGTATATAAAATAAAAAGTCACACTGAATTCGGGCATATTTAATGATGATTATGGAGCCTGCCGGGCCTGTAATCATTGGTCCGGCTGCTCTGGGGTAGATTGTTTAGGTTGGAAATGGTTTCATTTGCCTTTTGGCTAACAGCAAGATGGAGGACAGCTTTCTGTGCACAAGAAGCAAACACCATCTCGCTTGTGCACCCTCGGCCACGTGTGCATTGGCTTCTATACCAGGCTGAGGCCTGGCTTGCGACCCTGAGGCTCAAGGGACTCCAACGCGAATTCATCTTTGCTGTAATCCTTTTCCTTCAACTCACACGGAAGGCCCGAATGGAGGACTTTTTCTAAGACCAGGAGCATTTTTTTAGGGGACAAAGTGCTAATTATTAACTCAACCAGGTCTACTTTCTAATGGTTTTCATAACAATAACTCTGGTAAGGTTACATAGGGATCAAGACTTTTTAATGGGTAGAGACCGTGGGTTCAGGAGGGTGGGGGATTGTTAAAACAACACACTTGCAAAAAAAAAAAAATTTGTATATATAACCATTTTAATCTTTTATAAAGTTTTGAATGTTCATGTATGAATGCTGCAGCTGTGAAGCATACGCAAATAAATGAAGTAAGCCATACTGATTTAATTTATTGGATGTTATTTTCCCCAAGACCTGAAAGTGGATATAGTGTGCTAGTTATTTTTCAGTGTTAGCTTGATATTTTCCTCACACAGTTGGGAACGATATAATGTAGTACTTTGTCCCTGATTGAATAATGTGATGGATAGACTCATTAAGTGCTTCTTGTGGAAAGAGTGGGCAAGTGCATAGCTTTCGGCAGTGGTGTTTGGCCACCCTACGCAAGGTGTCTGCGCAGGCTTAGCCTGGGCCTTTCGTCTCGTTCAATGGAGTGTATGTGTTAAAACTTCTTGTCTCCTCATACTCAATTTTCTCCCTTCTGTTTGAATAAAGAGACTGCTGGAGATGACTCTGAATTATTATCCACTTAATTTAATGGTTAAACAAAAATCTGTACTGGAAAGAAAGCAAGAGGAGTAGACAGCAAGTAAAATGACAGATGCTTGAGGAGAGAGAAGTTCACCCTGAGTTAACAGTGCAAGGTGTTCCCGGGTGTGGAACATCTCGGGGTACCCCAAGTGATGGAGAGCTTTTGTGTGCTTAGGGAGCAGTTGGCAGTTTAATTTTTTTGAGAAAAAAAGAAAGCAAACTAGATAAAGAGCAGACAGGTTGGCCCAAGGTGGACAGTCATGAAACCTCCTTTGGCCCAGGACAGAGAAGTGAGGCTCACAATTACATGCAGTGTATTCGAGCTGCCCCCTTGGTCCCCTCACCCAGTGTATCCCCCTTGGGTGCTGTGGCACACACACACACACACACACACACACACACACACACACACACACACTGTGTTGACTCGCTAGGTCTTTATTTTTCCCTTTCCATTAAAATGCACATAGTACTCTCCTGTATTTATATTATGACATGTATAGTGTAAAATGTGAATGATTTTTTTTTTTTTTTGTGAATGAAAATCTAAAACCTTTGTAACTTTTTATATCTGCTTTTGTTTCACCAAAGAAACCTAAAGTCCTTCTTTTACTACACTGTGATTTGTCTGGTTATTTACAACTTTAAACCTAAGTGTACACCAACATTTTCATCACCTGATTCCATCTTGGAAAATGAGCTGCTGGCTTAGTTAAAATCATTTTTACTGAAGTCAAGACATTACCTAGGTGCCTCCAAAAAACAGACTAACTCTTGGGAATGTTTTCGTCTCCATATCATGCAGTGATTTCAAATCTGAAAGAAGCAGGAAATATGAAAAGTTGTTGCACACATTACACACTGTTTCTTGTGAGCAAGCCCTAATGTTTTACATACATTACCTCCCATCGGATGTAGGGTCTGCTGCAGAGAGATCAAGCTATTTATTGAAACGTTATGTAGTTGGTGTCCAGTGGAAGCAGATAATTTCCGAGACCTTGCATGGTGTTTTCATAATAAATATTCCTGATGGGTACACCTTTAGCAGGTCAGTTTAATTATTAGATAATCGTACCTAAATAATTATCAAAAGATATAAAAAGTCACGCCCTCATGCATCCAGCTGCCCAATCAGTCCTTCATTTTTATTCATGCACTATCTCTTAGGTACTTTGTATGTGCCAGGCGCAAGTAGGCCTTGAGGATTTAGCAGTGAACGAGGGAGGCAGACCTCCGCCTACAGCTTTTGTACTGAATACATCCCATGAGAATCACTTGCAAACTCACTCATTCAGCTTATTGGTGGTCTGGAAGGGTGATTCCATTCTACACTTTGTAGTGACATAGAAGATACCATAAAGTGCAAAGTGGTTCTGAAAATTACTTTGTGGCTTCTTTCTTAGCATCCCAAAGTTACACTGGGAGTTGGGCATGAACAGAAGCAAAGCACTTTGTTTCCTTTCTGAGCTGTTGTTCTCAGGGTGCAGCCTGCCATTTCTTTTATGCATGCTAAATAGAAGTTATCCAAGGAAGTAGACAAGAATTTAGATTACCGGTAGAGATGTACCTTTGTTAGATTTATAAAAAATTATTGATTGATTTAGGTACTTAGAGTGGAAGATGCAGGATATTCCGAATACTGGGTCAAGGTGAGAAGTTTAAGGAAGTTGTGCTAATCATTGTCAGCAAAGGGGGCTTCTCCACACTCCTACACCAGCTGACTCACTCATTCAAGAAAGTCCTTGGCCCTTGGACTCCAGATGAGAGGAGGGCTTCCAGGGTGGCCTAACCCTCCAGATGAGAGGGAAGAGAGACTGTACAGGGAGGGACATGCCAGCTTAATGTGATAGTAAGTAGGACTTTGTTGACCTTAAGAGAATTTTCAGTACAAAGGAACAGCAGCAGGATTAGTCCATTATCTGTTATCTCAGAAATCAGACATCACGTATAGTGAACTTAAGAGATTTGGGAATCAATAGGAAGAAAATGAAATAGATTTTAAGAACATTCATAGTTGATGTTGCCCCGGACTGTTAGCCAAGAAAAGTTTATAAGAAAGAAAATGCCTTCTAAAATAAGTTAAAAGGTGTCAAGTATGCTGAGTGTCTGCTCTTAACATGTTTCCTTTCATGCTCCATGATTGTAGAAATGCGGAGAAATGGTTTCTCAAGAGCAAGGGTCACCACGATGGGTGGGCACCAACAGCTGTGCGTTTTGCTTTTCTGCGTTGTGTCATTTTCATTTGCTAAACAGGCGAAAGATTTATACGATCTGAAGAGAAACCAGAGTTCATTTGCTAAACAAACTAGAATAATTCACCCAAACAATTCATTTCTGAAACCAGTCTAAACAAAAAGTTTAAAGGTCTTTGAATGAGTCATTCAAAACTGTACAATATTTTCTCACTATTAATTGTTTCTGTATGTTTGGATCCCGGCTGAGAAGAAAGAGCAAATGCCAACATAGTGCGATAATAGCGTTTGTTGAGATATTTACAGAATAAGCAAAGTCTGGGTTTTAATTGGAATTTAATTCAGAGATTTGTCTGAGTCCATCAAATGATCCTTGCCAAGGATGTGAAGTTTACTGCCTTAGGCAGTTACTCCTAAATGTGATTTTTGATGGTGTTTTCTCTCAAAAATGTAAAAATAGGTACCTTAAGGATTTATTTAAGTTATCATCAAAAACTTTTTTATCATAAACAATGATAAAGAGTGTTATTTGGGGCATATTTCAAACATTACTATTCTAAAATAAACATAACATAATTCCTTTAAATATATTGGGCAGAATTTAGGCAGTATTTCCTGTGTGTCCACCATTATCCTTTAAAGGAGTATATGAAGAAAAATGTTCTTTTTCACAGCCAGAAATGTTGTAGTTCTCTCATCTTTCGGATTACTTTTCGTCCCACAGAGTATCATCCAAATGTTAAACATTGATATATCTGAAAATGTTCCTTTGATTAAGCTACCAGATATGCATTCAAAGACCCAGATCACAATTTATACTTGAAATCTGAAAATTTTTCTTATGAACATAATCTATAAAAGTTAACAGTTTCTTGAACTGATTCTATCGTGACTTACTGATGTACAATAGATGAAAGCAATAAACGGTTGCTATATAATTTGAAAGTAAATGTATAAATTATAAAATTTTATTAGAAATGTATCTCAAGCGTCTGAGTGGAGTTGCTTTCTGCAGCTAATGACTTTTCCACGGATCAGTATCACTTAAAAGTAGACTGTGACGTGGATCAACACACCCTACTCCTGTTTTTATAGACACAAACCCTGGGAAATCTTGTGTGGTAAGTAAGCAGATGTAGATGATAGTTTTATTATGCTTTGCTACCCAAATCGTAAAGCAGTCTCTGACTTTTGGCCAAGAGCCACACAGTGATCTGGCAGACTGTATCTTCAGTTACCTCTCAGTTGACGTCATTGGTGAAGTTTTCTTTAATCTTTTCATAAGCCCCTTGCTAAGGGGAGAAAAAAAAGATTTGTTACATTGTCGGAAGAATCATTCATTTTTAACTTCCTTGTTCATTCACAATTTTTACATTCTGTGCTAACGCCTCCAAAGACCCAGAGCGCATGGAAAGTTGAAATTCTTATGGTTTCCGGTTATTTTATTTTTTGTTTTCCATTAAGTGGCAAACTAGTCTTTGGTGTTCAAAATTTGTTCTCTGAAACAACAGCTTTCGTGTCACCTGGAAACTCTAAGGGTGCAAATAAATCCTCAGCCCTCACCCTACTGAATCAGCGCTTTGTGCAGAGCAGACAGCAATTGGTGTTTCTGTAGAGCACGCCCAGTGATTCAGAGGCACTCCAGAGTGGGTTAGAAGTGACAGCACAAGGCGCCCAAGCAATCAGGCCCAGTATCACAGACACAGCCTTAGGGAGGTGAGTACTAGGAAAGATCCAGAATGGGCATGACTCAGCTCCAGAAAGTCCTTCTCTTGGTAAGACCATGTGTCCCTGCAAGAGACTGGGGTGCTTCCCCAGGAGGCACCCATGTTTTAGAGGCCCCACCATTCCCTCAAAGCTCTTTGGGCCTTGTGCACCCTGTGTTCTGAGCATGTGCTCTGTTAGGCACTGATTACTTTCCAACCTTCAAATGGACCTCTGGCTTTACAAGAACAAGAAAGCCTTTCATTACATGAGAAACTGAATGAAGTGCTGATTGAAAATATTCATTCCATAAGGAATGAGTAAACATGAGAGGAAAAGTGAATATGTAGGAAGATGAATTTAAAAACAGGAAATAGAAGGAAAGAAGTTGTAACTTCTCAGTAACTGCAGCTTCAGATTCAGTAGCAAGCACAGCGGCCGAGGCAGGAAAACCTTGTGGCCCAACGTGAGCTGGAAGCCTCTTTCTGGAGCCCACCCCTCGCACTAAGACTGGCCAGATGAAGCTTCTGTCCATCCAGTAACACACATGGAGCATTTTGCTGGATTCAAGAGTGCAGTTACAAGCAGATCTTGCCGAGTCCCTGTTCTTGTGAAGTTTATAGCCTGCTGAGAAACAAAGAGATGTGGTTCCTCAAAATGTTGTCCGAGCCTCCGTTCCAGGCCATCTCGGCCTTCTTTGAGGGTTTCCTTCATAGCCATTATTTAACTGACACTGGGCAGATCTCCGTCTGGCTGGTTGGAACTCACAGGCGGATCCTGCTCTGCATGTTGCAGACTGGATGACTATCTGCCTCTCTCCCTAGCCAACTGTCCTGTTATTGTTTGTTCTTAGAACTGAAAATCACAGATTGGCTGATTTATAAAGAAGAGATGTTTGTTAGTTCACTGTTTTGAGGATCACGCCACCCAGAAGCGTGCTATAAGCACCTCTCAGCCTCTCTAAGGCTTCACTGCTGGAGGTGGTGTTGTGGAAAACATCCGTGGCAAGACATGGAGAGCGGCGTGCGTCCCACTACTCACAGGTTGGAAGCCCACAGTCCTACCACCGAGGCTCCCCGTTCCTAAGCTCATCTAACTCCAGTCCCCCAACCCAGCCTCGAGTGGTGTTGCAGCAGCAGTTAAATCTCAGTATAAAACATTCAAACTGGACAGCAGTGCCCCTAAATTTTCTGTAAAGTTAGGAGGCTAAGGCTTGTTTCACAGTCTAACTTGACGCCCATATTCAATCACCAAATTGTATTAATTTTTCTTCCAAAGGGTTTTTACATATATTCCTTTCTTTTGTAAAATCTCAGAGAGCCTACTCCAGGTGCAAAACTTTAAAATTATCTTTTAAGGTACTGAAGATTATCTTCAAAGTAGGAAAATTGAAGTTAGGTATTCCCCAGCAGAGAATTCTTTGGAATATATTGTCTGCACAATAGAATATAATTTCACATCTGTAGGCTTTACTTACCTATTCAACCTGATAATCTGTAAAATGTTATCAAGAAGCTATCTTAGGTGTTATGTGCTTAAGAAGGAAAGGAAATTACTTTGAAGGCTCAAGCAGATTGCTTATCTTTTTTCTTTTTTTTAACTTTCCCCTTTAATTAGATCAGGTTTTTTTTTTTTTCCAAAATTTTGTTGAGAAACAAATA